GATGCAGAGTAGAGTCCTAATCACACCACTCTGGGCTTCTGAGAAAGCTTTGAAGTTGTTTCCAGGGCTGCTTTATAAAGGTGTACCACAATGCACAGGGCTCAACTTAGCTCAGCTGGAAGCCTGGTAACACCCACTTACCCCTAGGAGGGCTGTGAAGAAGGAGCCTTTCTCTCTGACTCTAAGAAGTGCCTCCTGGTCTAGAAAGAAGTTGTTCTAATGGATTTTTTTTTTTTTTTTTTTTTTTTTTTTTGTTTTTCAGAATTGCTGTGGAATTTGCTTTGATACTTAGTTTTACTTTGGATAAGTTAAAAACCGCAGCGTGCTTAAAGACAGATTAAAATGAAAACTGCATTTTCATTTTAAACACACTTTTGGTTGAGCACAATACAGTTAAGAAACATTCAAATAGGCAGGACAAAGATGAAAAGAAGGATGTAATATGCAGGTCAAAGGGTCCTGTGAGTTTGGTCTGTAAGTTCTGGACATGCTTCTATTTCCACAACGAAGTTTGCACCAGTCTTCGATGTGCATGACCTGTTCAGTGAATGGACTTCTCATTCGTACAGGGGAAGGACTTATGCTCTTAACAAAATAGACGTACATTATTTGGGAACTGCCTTTGTTTCTGTGTTATTTCTTTTTCTCTCTGTATTATTAAATAATATATGTATGTATTTAGAATTGGAAAGTTTCTGTTAAGCTCCCCGGTTACCTCAAGAAATTCAGTATCCAGTATTACCCAAAACCTTGGGGATGGCTAAAGAATATATGTGGTAAAGATTCAGAACGAAGCATTGCTCTTCCTTCATTGAAAAATGACAACAGTGCTATTGGAAGATGCCACTGTCTAGGATCTGGGCAGGATGTGCTGTAACACCACTGAAGTGTTGCAAAGATTGAACTGTGGTTTTTTCTGTAGGTGTGTTGGTGCTGTGATTACACAGTAGGTTGATGTGGTACTGGGCTATCACACTTGCTAAAGTTTTGTGTGGCAGTTTAAGAGATTTCTGAGACAGAGAGACAGAGGGAGAGGGAGGATATTTAAAAAAAAAAAGACTTCAGGAGGGTGAGTGGGAGGTGGAGGACGATTGGCTTGGATTTCCCTGGCCTCTGGGCAGCTGTTTGAGATGGAGGAGTTATGGCTGTTGTTCCTTAATAGTGCTTATCATGATGACCTTGTTCCTAAGGATGAACTAAACCTTTTTCATGTGATAGAGTTGATGCTCTTGAATTGAATTGAAGGTCTTATAGGCAGCTAGCAGCGCCGACTCATCCTGACAAAAATTATGATCGCAGGCTGAGGAGACCCACATTTAGGACTTTGTCGGAGTGTTGTAAGGCAGAAGGAATATGAGTTGAAATAAACCACAGAGGATGAGCTGAGTTGGTCAGTGCATGCATTTCTGCCCAGGTTGCAAGTTGACCTCAAGGAGGCATGGAATACTATGATGTGTAGCAGTATAGAAGATTTGAGGTAGACTGTGAGCCCAAGAGAACCAGATACTGTGCAGAGTGTAATAGGCTACATCTTGCTGAGGAAGGAGACACAGGCAGAGTTAAGCACTTTGGTCCTCAAGATCAGTAGTTACAGTGCACTGATGGATGGAAAGATCTATGACATCACAGACTGGGCAGGATTCCAGTGTTCGGGAATCTCTTGGATACCCATAGAGTTCCATATCACATCTCACTTGTCTCTTAGGCCCTAGGTGCTAGTGGTTGGCGGAAACCACCCCTGAGGGTCCCTTCCTGTTGACCTGCAGGGTTTCTTGAGCTGGATCTTTTAAGTACCCTCAGCCAGCCAGATGTCCCGTGGGAACTTCTTTGCAGATACTCATCGTAGCTACTGCAACTCCCAAGCCTGACAGCCCAGCACTCCAGCGAGAAGCCAAACATGATGGAACAAGTGAGGTGGTCCTTCTAGTGTTGGTACCCTTTCTGTCCCTCAAATCAATGTCAGGAGTCAAAGGGTTGTGTACAACACAGAGGGGAGTTTTACTTCTTTATTTTTAAATATTTTAAAAAGGGAAAATTTAATTGTACCTTCAGTGCTCATAGGAAGCTCCTGAACTACTCTTCCTAGTCCTTGGCACCCAGGAGCTGGTCTTGTCTTCTGGCAAATATCAAAGAATAGGTGGTGGCCAGAGCAAAGCAGCCACAGGCCTGAACCTAGCCCTGCCAATACATTCCTGAGGTGTGGGAACTGGGGTTTCCCTGGCGTCTGTATGCTTTTATCTTATCATTTGCACTCAGAGAAGATGCCATGCACCCGTTAAAACCCATCATAGGGGTCTTCCCTTTTTACCATTATAAATGTGGGTCCCTACTTTGGAGGTAAAGAATTCAGTGGAAACTAAATTTTTTCTTTGTTTTTCACCTTATGAGTATGTCACCTAGCTAAAGGCTTGTAATGGATGGTCCAAATTAATTTTTAAAGAGTCCTTGGGTGAGGGAAAAGGCTACAGGATTTCCCAGATGCCCTTTTGTGAGTCAAGGCTTTATATTTTAAGTTTGCTCATATTTGTGTGTGCATATTTGTTTACAGCCAGGAGATTATCTTTCTGTGAATTACAATTGGCAACTTGAAAAAAGCAACCTTTTAGATCTTATCATGACTTAAAACATTAAAAAGACTGTGAGTGCATGTTTGCACGCATGTTCATGTGTTAAGGTTAGAGAACAACATTCAAGGGTCAGTTTTCTCCTTCCACTTGAGGGTCATGGGCTTGAACTCAGGTTGTCAGGATAGCTGCTAAGTATCTTTATCGTATGAACCGCCTCTCTGGCCGTCAGAGATCCATGTATACATATGCGTGAGAATCTGTGTGTAGGTCTCTTGTTTTGCTGAGGAACAATGGAGCAGCTGAGGAGGGAAAATTCCTGAGCTTATAGTGTATGAGAGCATTGCTCCCCTTACCTTTTGAACTAGAGTAGGTTGATATCACATTTTACATATTGATGATGGAATTATAATTGCATCATCTCTCCTTTTTCCCTCCACTAACTCTTCACATGCTCTCTCCACCCCAAATTTATGGCTTCTTTTCCCTTAGTTAGTTACACACACACACACACACACACACACACACACACACACACACACACGTAAAATATAACCTGCTTAATTTGTTTAGCATTGATTATCTGTATGTAATTTTAATGTCAGTTTGGTATTGGCTAACAAATTAGGGACCCATTTCTGGAGTACACTTATCTTCCTTCTGTCAGCAGTTCTTCGTTGCCTGTAGTACTTTGTCTAGGGGTGAGGCCCTGTGAGAGGTCCCCTTTCCCGTTTACTGTGTCTATTGGTGTTGACCTTGCTTGGCTCTTACTCAGCCTGCCATACTTTTGGGTGTAGTATGGGTGAAACATGTCCGTCATTTATAGTAGCTCTCCTGCTTCTCTCTGGCTTTTACAGTGTTTTTGCTCCTTCTTCCATGATATTCCCTGAGCTTTAGGGCAAGAATTATGTTGTAAATGTAGCCATTGGGGCTTGGTCCCACATAGTCAGTTTTTCTCTGCATTTTGACCAGTTTTCTGTGTTGGTCTTCATCTTGCAAAGAGGAGCTACTTTGATGAGGGGTGAGAGGCACACTAATCTGTGGGCATGAGGGTATTCAGAACACAGTTAGGAACTGTGCTGGCTAGTAAAGTTGTGGTCTAGGTGCTCTCCCGAGATCCGTGACCTCTCTAGCCCTGGCTAGTTGGCTAGGTTTTTAGTACCAGGCAAGATTTCTCTCCTGGCCTTAAATCCAATTAGATAGTTGGTGATTATCAAGAAGATATGAATGAAAAATTTATTTTCTTTAGATAATTTTATGTTTAAACAATGTTAGCAGATATGTAATTCTGTTTCTTCATTTTAGTGATAAAATACGAGGGAATAAAAGTTAACTAGAACTGTTTTTCTAAATTTATTTCAGCAGTGTTAAGTCATACTGTCTCTGTGTAGCTTTGGAAGTATTAAAAGTCTTAGCCCTTTTAGTTAATAAAAGGTCAAGAATGCATATGGTCATGACATCACGACAATTGCGTGCATAATATTGATATGTAGACCTGGTATGATGTTTATGTGAAGGTACTAGCAACTTGTTTTATATGTGAGGTACTTTCCGTCTGGGTCCTAAAAATGTTTGCCACTCAGATCTGAGTGAGTTTTTGAAATTTCTGTTTATTATTTTCATTCTGCCCCTGATCTCTTAAGCATGAGCCCCTTTGTTAGAGAACAGAATCTATTTCTTTTATTGCTCAAACATGCCAAAAGTTAGTAAGTTATTTAAAGCTATCATTATCTTTGCGATTCTACTTGAGGTCTCATTAAATGTGTTTGATAAAAATATTTCTTTTTCTGTAGTTGTATTTAGTTTCTCAGAAACAGAAAGTTCCTTTTTACGTAACTACTTACTTAATAATATGATTAATAGGATTTATAATCAGTTCTGAATGGATTGTATTTTTCTACGAACAAACTGAGCAGTTGCTGTGTACAACATAAAAAGATAAAATGATGTTTTGATAAAAATTGCATTTAGTCAGAATTGTTCTGGCATTGACTTTTGGCAAGGTAAATTTTCTTGAATTTCTTCTTATTGAATTAAGGATCCTCTAGCACAAACAGGGTATGGCAACACGTATTAGAAGTACCAGCTGCTTTGCAGGGTTGCTTGAATCTAGGCACTTGAGACCAGCCTGGACAATATGTGAGACTCCATCTCAAAAAAGGGGTCTTCTAATAACAGAGCAATATTAGTTTAAAATATTTACTGACAAACAAGTAGAATTTTTTCATGACTTATTCTATTACTAGAATGACCTAGAGAATCAGTGTAGGTTCAGCTCAGCACATTAAAAGGATAACTCAGCACAGTCTGCTTATATTTTAATATATTAGTGTTAGTGTGGTTTTAGACTCCTGATAGGTTTTGATAGATTTTTGATTCTGATAAAGTGATTATAAAGTCAGATCAAAGCTTACTCTTTTTTAAAATTATTTACAGGAGAGGGCTGCTCACAATTTACATGGCCAACTTGGTAAGTAAAGTTTTTTTTTCTTATTTTAAATTTTAAAACATTTCCACATCTCTCCTCTTTTCCCCCCCCAGTGGAAGAAGGAACAAGTGAACTTCGAGACTGTGTCCTGTGTGTTTCAAAGGCTAGCACTGAGTGTCTGGGAGAACTTGCTGTCGTCCGGGTCGTTTCTGTCTTAGTGCCTTTCACTTATTTGAGAAGGGAAGCAGCTCAGTGCCAAATGCCCTTTGGGATACTTCTTTTCTAACTATAGACCTTTGATGGCTTTCGTGTTTGTACCTGCATGTCTAGCTCTCTCACCTATTTAATGTTGTACTCTGTGCTGTTGGATTTATGGGGGAAATGAGTTAAGGCTGAGTTGTTATGATAAACCCTTAATATTAAAAAATTAAAACTAATCTTAAAATGCGGGTATGGTAACATAATGACTCAAATTCCCAAGTCTACAAGAATGAGATCATGTGGTGTGTATTGTAAATAGCACACATAGAATGCAGATGCTACCACCGTGTTCGCCAGCTCACCTTTTAATAGCATTCTTAATAATTGATAGACACCACTCGATGGAGTCGCAGAGAAGGGATAATTTTTCCTGGAGATAAACTCTTGAGTTCTATAACAAGGCCGTGCATTTCAAGATGTGTTTTGTGTGTTAGTTTCCATTCTTGCTAATACCTGGCAAAAGCAACCTCAGGAATGGGCTTCTTTTGGCTCTTGGTTTGAGGGGACAGAGTCCATTATGCGGGGGAGGGCATGGTGACAGAAATGCTGGGCACTGCTCTGTCATATCTTATCTGCTGTCAGGAAGCAAGAGAGGTGAGTGCTGGTACTTAGCTTGCATTTTCCTTTCCTTTCTTGTCTGTTCTTTTTTTATTCAGTCTATGACCCCAGCATAGGAAGTGGATCTGCCCTGCTCGGTTAAATTTCTCTGGAAACATCTTCATGTACAGACTCAGAGATACATCCCCTAAATGACTCCAGATCCATCCAAGTTAACAGCAAAAAGTATGCATCCCATGTAGAAGAAGTTCATTTCAGTGATGAAGCTGTTCAGTACACTGTCACTCTGTTTTAGTTGACTGCACTGACTTATTCTTATGGAATCTATGGTCTAGCAAAGGAGTCCACTGAAATAATAATGAAAGACTGAAATGTAAACCATGTGTACCATAGGAGCCATGAAAGTAACACCTAACTGTAGTGTGTGAGACAGGCCTCTAATCCTTTTTGTGTCATTCTACCCACATCTGCTCATGTACAGAAAGACCTGCAAGTTGTTGTGATGTCAGAGATGTCATGCGTCGGTTAAATCCCAGGCTCTGCAGCTCGCTAACTTATTTAAAAACATCTACTGTAGGAACTTCGGAGTTCTGATCTCTTTTAATTGAAATGTAAAAGAAGTTTCAGGACACTAAGAGAGCAGAGAGCAATTACATGATTAATTTTTATATTTATTCTTTTGAACAAAGAATTATTCTAGCCTGTAAGCGCTGTCCAATCAGGGGCTTTTCCTGCTTTATGTCTCATTATATTATGACCATGTAGGTAGAGTCTGATGAGTAGAATTTGATCAGTATATGGTGAATTAGCAAAAATCTTGTTGGGTATAAAATTCTAAACTGGCAGTGACCTAAGGTAATAATCTCACAACCTCCTCAAGCCCCCATACACCCCCTTTTTTTTTTCTTCTGGGCAGATACCTTTTGGAATCTGTTGTTAATCTGGCTTTACATTTTTAAAAAATTTTTGGTAATCTCTTTTTATCCTTAGTTTTAATATTTTCTTTTGAAGAATTATCCTGGCAAGGATGTAGGTGTTTGTTTTTAAAATCAGGACTTAGTTTGCTTTTTTCAGTGATACACTGCTTTTCCTTGGGCTTCTTATTTAAGCCATATTTTCTTCTTCATTTTTTTTTTTAAAAATTATTTATTCTTTGGTGTTTTTCTACTTTTTCATCTCTGCTGAATCCTGATTGTATTTCATATCTTTGCCTCAAACTTAACCTATTTACCTGTGTGTGCATATTGGGGACCGTTATCTTTAATGTTCTGCTTAAACCATTTAGCATTCCTTTGAATGATATATATATATTTTTAATTTTAAAAAGATGATACACATCAAACATTAAATCTGAAAAACATGCTCTAGTAAAAGAATTATCTAGCATATCAGTGTATTTCTTACTTCTTTTCCTACTTCCAGTAGGTGCTTGCTGTGTAGTCCAAGCTGGCCTGAAGTTTACTGTGTATTTCAAGCTGGCCCTGAATTTTAATCTTCTGCTTTACGCATCCAAATGCTGTGGTTCTTGACAGCAACCACACCCAGCTATGTTACTTTTCCGCTATTCATTGTTTATACCTATTTCAGTTCCTCATGTGTTGATTTTTATAATGTATTTTTTTACTAGAATAAATAACATAATTTACTCTTTTCTTTTGAGTTATTAATCAAATATATTTTAAAAATTATATGTAGTTGGAATAGTTAAAATTGTAGCTGAATATTCAGGTTTACTCTCTTGCAAAATATAGACAGTATTAGTTTTAAAAGACAGCAATTCTAAAACATACCTGGTTATCAATTTCCATCAGAAATAAACTTCATAACGTTTTGATGTTGGTATTTTACAATAATTGTGATTGTATTCACTTAATTTTCTTGACAAGAAAGAACTTGTATCTAAACTAGGTCTAGATCAATACCTGGTTCTCTCCTTAACACTTTAAATGTCTGATGTGAGGAAAAACTTTTGTCTGTCTTCGGCTTTGTGCCTCCCACATATTTCTTTCCCATTGCCTGCACCTCTTTTGGATTTGACATTCCTCTATGTTAGTATGGCTTCCGAGCCTTCTGTCTTGTTTTATGACATGGTAAGTTGGAACAGTGAATAGTAGAATGTTTTTGGAAAGCACGCTTTTATGGGCCACTAGCAACCAGCTGTCTGTAACTAGAAGCAACTGGAAAATAAATAAATGAATGCATTTTCACAAACTCAATGTAAATATATCCTGAGCTGAACTAGCAGTAACCTAGGTCCCAAAATGTCTGTGCTGTTCACAAAAAGTGAAGTGTGACAGATAAGACTGTATCATATAAGAATAAGAATGTAATGTGGTAGTGATTTGCAGATTTTATGAAAAAATGTGACTTTGAACAAATTATATAAGTTGTTTTTCTTAAGACTTGGTAGGATCTTGTGAAAATGGGAAGTTTGTGCCCTTCTTTTTTATTACCCCTTCCACCCCTCTTTTCTGCTTCTCCATCCTGCTCCCTCTGATGAAGCATGACAAGCACACCTCCTCTGTGGGACCTTTGTATCAGTTCTTTGGAGTCTCCAGTATCTCCATGTCCTGCTGTTTCACTTCCTTGAGACTGTGCTCAAATGTCACAGTTGTAAAGTCTTGCATATCTGTCATATATATATATATATCCACATAGAATAACAGTCCCCCACATGTACACAGCCTAGCCCATGCATTTTATTTTTTTCCTATGAACTTTATCAACATTTGATTTTGTTTTGCTGTCCTCTTTAATGTCTTCCCATTTGGGCATATACGTTTCATGTAAGATTTGGACATTGCTGTACTGTGACACTGGAGAAGTGCCTCGTGAGTACTTTGTGTTGTAAGTTGCTGAATGGATTTGTTAGATGAAATGTTCATCAAAAAGAATAATTTACAGGAGGGATTTATTTTAAACCTTGCTATATTTGATCTATGTTAGTATAATATTTTAGTTAAAAGATTATAAATACTGTCCCCTCCAGGTCTTTCTATCTCCCCTTTCTTCCGTAAGATTCCCTGCGTTCTGCCCAAAGTTTGGCTATGAGTCTCAGCATCTGCTTCGATACCCTGATGGACAGTCTTTCAGAGGCCCCTGTGGAAGGCTCCTGTCCAGTTCCTTGTCTTTTCCGACTTCTGATATCTAACCTGTTTGCCCCACTAAATGAGGTTTTAAGCCTCTTACCTAGAGTCCTCCTTGTTGTTTAGCTTCTTTAGGAGTATAGATTTTAGTATGTTTATTCTATATTATATGGTTAATATCTGCTCCACAAGGAGACCAACAGAGCCAAATATTCTCGGCTCAGGGGGTCCTGCAGAGACTGGTGAATCAACCAAGGACTGTGCATAGAGAGGACCTAGACTCCCTGCCCAGATGTAGCTCAGAAGTAGCTCAGTCTCCGTATGGGTTTCCTAGTAAGGGGAGCAGGGGCTATCTCTGACATGGACTTAGTGGCTGGCTCTTTGATCACCTCTCCCTGGCAAGGTGGCCTAACTAGGCTGCAGAGAAAGAGGATCCAGAGAGTCCTGAGACAGAGATGAGACCTAATAGGCTAGGGTCAGATAGTAGGAGAGGAGACTCTTTCCTATCAGTGGACTAGTGGACGTAGGAGGGGAAGGGAGAGGAATGGTTGGACCAGGAGGAGATGAGGGAGGGGGCTGCAGCTGGGATATAAAGTGAATAAACTGTAATAAATAATAATAATAATAAATTAAAAAAGATTATGAATACTGAAAGCTGGTGATAGTGGGGCTCAGTTTAAACTGAACATGAAGATTTGCAGTGTGAACTTTTCAAGATTTCTGCCTTGAAAACACCTGTGCCATACAAACATGTTATTGTTGGCCTCTAGACTGAACTTTTAAAACTTCTTGAGTATTACCAAATTTTGGCTAAACATTGGGGCAAAGAGGAAGGATAAAAAAATATATTGAGAATTTGCCATTTGTTAGATGCTCTAAATTGATATTACCAAACTAGTTATTTTAGCTAGTCCACAGAAACCACAGAAATATAATGCACTAGTGTGATGACTTGACCATGTCATGAGAATGCTTGTCCAGTGCAATTGGGTCTTAATGTTGATAGTTGTGTTTGAACTGCTGTTGCAGGCCATAGGTAAAGAGATGTGAACTCTGTGCCTGGGGATGTCTCTGCTGGTGTTTTCTTTGTAGCACAGAGTTGTCTCTGCTGACAATTGCATTCTAAAAATGCTCTCC